GGTCCTAGGGAAAGAGCACAACTCCAAATATTTCTGCAGATTGGCTAAGGAGTATCTCTGCTCACCCGTATCTCTCAGCGCAATGAATGATCTAGCAAATACTTCGCGGTCATTAGCTACTCAGATGTCCCCTGGTGGTCTTACAGCCTCTTGTGCCCACAGGAACACAGCTTTCCTTTAGTGTGTAATCAGTAACAAGGCTGCCACGCACGCCCTTTGTACCTGCCCTTAGCCAGAACACAAAGTCGTGTTCTCTCTAGCAGTGCCAGACATCGCCATTTCCCAGAATAAATTATCTGGGGAAATCGGGTTTCGTTGTACAAACAAACCAGGCTTTCAGTTACACAGTAACTGAGACACTGAAAAAAGAATGGGGGCAGAGGGAAACCGGCTGCCAGGAAATGGCTGCCCAGATTCAGCAAGCTGAGGAAAAAAGTCCGAGTTCTGAAGACAAATAAATTTTCACTAACATACTATCTGATACATTATTTTGTTATTAAAAAAACCCAGCGGGATCCATAACAATCTATGGAGGTTTCTCTGCTTATTCATTTATAGACGAATACTCCCTTGATCAGACAGGCCTGAATTACAAGGGATGTTAGTTCCTTAGTTGATTTCTCAAGGTAGATATTAACACTGCAGTAAAAGGATCCCTCCTGTTTAAAGATATAGACATGCACAAAAACCGTAGTTCTCCTTTTCTCCTGCTACCAAGACACATGCTGACTTTTCATTAAAAATGCCACAGCTGTCAACCTCTACTGAGATAAAGCAACGAACCTAGTCATAAAGAAATGGAAAATTGCAAAAAATGTAAGATTTTAAACAAATAAAACTCGAATAACGTTTTCCTTTTGCTTCTTGGTACAGGCTGGTTATGCTGTACAGCAGACTTACTTCTTTTCCCAAGAAGTGTCCATAATAACAAGGGCTAGAAATTAATTTTCAAATGAAAGTTGAGTATAACGAAAACACGAGTCCGCAAGCTGGGGATTTATGTAAAACATCAAATACAAAGTCTTGTGACAGAACAGTAGAAGTTATCAAGACTAAATAATTATAAAAAGGACTGTCATTTTCCATTGTTTCAAGGCAAACAAGACTTTGCTAGTTTTAGTGTATATTCCTTTGTTCAGTCAGGAAGATCCATTCTGCAAAAACTCCATTAATTTCTGATAGGCTAAAAGGAACAACTCTTAGTTTAAAATTTAGAAGATAAGACTTCATCTAACAGTACATTTTTTAACATAATGAAATCCACAGAAAAAGAAGCAAACCGTTTGAGGCTTTATCACACTACAGTAGACTTCAGAGATGCTGATTGCGAGATTGTGTTCGTACAAAAACAACACATTAATTACCTGGAGAGCCTTGAAGTGAGCAGAAAGATTGCAAGAGTGGATTATCAAGTCCTCAGTCTTGACAACACTTGGAGCTAGACCTTTTAAGTACTTGGGCACCTACTATGTATGTATGTGCTATGTGAGGCATTTAGTGGGTGTTGAAAGTCCTACTCGGTGACAATATTCATTTTTGAGTGCCTTTATTCCCTTAAAAATCACCTGTCACTTTGGTTTTTTTACATGCAGCTTGAACTTCAGTATAACATCTATGAGAAATCTTAGGAAATTGCCACCCGGATCATGATCTCCTCCTTGATGTTATAACCCATAGGAGGCATAAAGACATGTCATGAAAAAAGATCCAAAGCACAAGCATCATATATAAATATATATGATCTATATAATTATGTGCCACTCTGATTTAGCCGTTCCCTGGAAGTGTTTTTCTATGCGGAATATGCTGATGACAACCCCTTAGCAAAACAGTAATTTGTGAAGTACACTGCTCACAGCATTTACAAGGGGCCCATGCCTTCAACAGAACTTATATATATGCTTAGATTATGTACATGCTTAAATGTCTGGATGACTTGGGTCTATAATTAAAAGTTTAATATTAAATTAAGTTTGGTCTTTTAATGAAAAATGCACCCATGAAACAGCAGACTAAAGCCTCAGAAAAAAGAAGTATCTCCCTTTTATTAAGGATCGTCTCATTGAATTTATGCATGAAATCCTCTGTAGACACACCTGAAACTGCAATATCCAGTGGTCAAAATGAAACATGTCTGGGGAAGAAATAAAATCCTACTTACTTCTGCCCATTTTAAAAGGGCAGTCAGTAGAACAGGGATTATATGGGGAAAACTTAAGCTAAAATATATTATTTTTCAGCCTCAATGACAATTTGTTTGGCTTAGAACTAGATATCCAGGCTAAGATATTTGCATTAGGCTGTTTGGATTGAGGTAATAATTTCTATTCTGCAAGTGACAATACACTCATGCTATAGGTCACACAGGAGAGCAGACTGTAATTATTGCTGTTTATACCAAACAAAGGGCACTTATACTGGTCTAATAGTTCTGGAGAATTGGATGCCGCTATCGCTGTTGCTGGGGTATTTTGTTTCAATTGACGTACTTGATTATCAGTCTCTATGCTTTGCTAGTGCCTGTGGGCGAGAGTCTCTAGTAGGGCTTATAAAAAACCATTGCTTTCTGAAAGGGTCCAACAAAAAAATCCATTTCTTACACACAAGCACGAGAGACCATTTAAAAACCATTGGCTTAGGAGTTGTGGGAAACAGTCAGCAATGCAAAGACGTCAGCGCCGTGGAAAGGAGGCAAACAGGGGAACAGGGACACCACCACCATTTCTGCTACAGGAAGGTCTCGGTGCCACCGGCCGTTCAGAGGAGAGAGGCAACACCACATCCCCATACCGCAAATCCTTCGGGCCGTTAATAACTGCTGTGGCGCTTCGTCAATTAGCAATGACAGCCTGGGCCGCGGGGGTACACGAGGGGAGGGACAGTTCAGGACCTCATCTAGGAAAAGTTTTCAAGCTCACGCTGAACTTCACGTGTATGCAAGGCGACGGGACTAACCACTGCCTACAGCACCAGGTGGGAGCATGAATATGCTGCTGAAGCAGACGTCAAGCCAGAATTATTTTGGTTTACGCAGAATTATTTAGCTGCCAAAAAGGCTTCACGTCACCTTACTTTCCTCACACAGTAGTCAACACATCTCTAAGCTTTTTTATGCCTCAAATACACTCAAA